AGCTATGGGATTTTGTGAACTGAAGTCTGAATAAACTCTGCCATGTTATCCGCAGTCAACAAACCTGAATTCAAATAGAACAGGTGAATGAAAAGGCAGCGAGAAAGACAGGGAATGGAAATCTATCTTACAAGAGAACACTAGAAGAACTTGGTTTCTTTAATCTTGCAAAATGAAGCCTAGAAGGAGTTGTGACTGATGTCCATAAAAATATACCAAGGACAAGCAGACAAAGGGCCAGACAGCGGGAAAGGGATTTTTCAAGATAAAATATAATGAAAACAATGAATCAACAAATGCAAGTTCAGCTTGCAAGTAAGTTTTCTAGTCATTCAAGAAGTAGAAATCTGGAGAAGTTTTTGGTTTCTCCCAGTAGGAGGAACCTGAGAGTGTGCACACACATTGAGTAACAGGAGGAAACAATCTATATTTAATTAAAAGTTTGACTGACTTATGAAACAGAGTATAGTATCTGGTTGCTAGTGGGTGTAGGAGACTTGACTTCAGGATTTCTTCCAAATAATCTGTGTTACCTTCACTGTAAATTTAGCTTGTTGCTCCTGAATTGAGCACAGCACTTTTTTGGCTAAAGCGTATCTTCCATAAATGGCATCCTATCCCAATCTTGCCTCCTTTCAGTTCCCGGATCCAAGCTGGTGATTGTCTTCCATCGCAAGGTCTTGAAACTATTCTAGGAGTTACCTTACTTCACAGAAAGACACAGTCAGAAAATACTACTGAGCTTGCAAATAGGGACCAGTTTTTAAAGGCATGCAAATGCTTAAGCCCCATTAATTTCTACAGGGATTATTTTAATGCCCAAATTTTTTGTATAATCCTCATCCTAAGCAGCTAGACCCATATCTGTTATATACATTGCATTTTCCTATTTCAAAAGCGAAAATCAGATTTGCAGTAGAGTGTTTTGTTTAAACACAGTATCTTTTCTCTCTGTTAAAAACACTCCTCTTGCTTTCTCTTCTTTCTATTTGAGAAAGCAAACCAGATGATTGTGTCACACTCAGAGCAGGAAAAGGAAACTCTGCAGATAGTTCTGCATTTTTTGCGAGAAATCATTCCACAGTTTGCTATTTGGTCCTTAAGAAAGCTCCAGATCAGACAAAATTTGCAGTTGACACAGTGTGATGTATTATGATGAACAAGCAGCTATCACACAAGTAATCTCTGTCACTTGGTAGGTGAATCATGTTCAAACTGTGCCTTAATAGGCCTGAATGCGAAGTCGTACATCTACAAGAAGAGATTATAATCCCTACCTCCAAACTGTTGGAGGGTCACAGCGTAAGGAAGAATACTAAAGGCCCTTCAGCCCAGTAGGAAAAGGTCATAAAAACATTCCTATGGCAATAAATTAAAAGCCAGACAAATTCAAATGGAAAATATGGCATATTTTTCCTTGCTCAATGGGAACTTTAGTAATTTAAAAAATTACATGAGAGAAAGCAGAGTGTTGTATCTTTTTGTAACTTTGAGAGGACTCTCTTCTGTCAAAAAGTATATTCTAGTCAAGCCAGCTGAGCAAATACAGATGACATGATCTTTCTTGTAGTATATAAGAGAGGTTTATTAATCTTTTCAGGGTTTAAAATTTACAGGTCACACTGCGGGAAAATCGAATTTGCTACATAAGAATTCTAAGCCTGACAACGTCCTGATGAGTACATGGTCTCACCCACTGAACAATAAAACCAGACCAAGGCGCAGAGGTCCCAGTGCAAAGGCAGCATTGCAGCAGCATCACCGAGACGAAGAGGACTGCTCACGAGAGCCAGGCATCCCGATGCGATGCACCGAGTGGGCCAACCTCTCCGAAGGTGACCCCCTAACGCTGGATGCTTCAGGACCAAGCTGCGCTGTCACAGGCTGCCTCTGGCGAACAGTACTGTGGTGCCAAGCACGAGACCCGTGCTCAAACACAAACGGTAGTGTTTCGGAGCTATTTCCACAGGACAAGACTCCTTTTAAGGAGAAGACTTGACTTTATTCTGACTCCAGAGCAACAGGATATGACAGCCGAGCAGAAGCAGCTGACAGGATCTTTTCCACCCTCTGGCAAGGAAGTCAAGGCACTTTGAACATCTAAGATCAGCCTAGCTTTTTCCTAGGGAGGGAAATTAGCAGCATATCCTTTCTAGGTAGCCTTGTGCAGCTGGAAGAAAGCATCACAGGAGAAGCAAAAACTTATAAAGTGCTTCAGTCAGCACAAGTTTTGCCAGTGCAGAGCCCTTCATGACTCCTGTATTTTCAGGTGCTCTACGGAAGATGTGTTAAGCCTGGGCAAACACAGAAGGATGACCTCAGCCATTACTGCACACAAAGAAGCATCTGTCAAACAGAATTTGGGACCCTCTTTCCACTACTATCTTCAATTTGCACAGCAGCTCTTTCTGGACTATTTCTTCAAAAATTATCTGAAAAGAAACAGACCTCAGGTGCAACCTCGTACCTTCAAATAGCAGCTTGATATGCTTCTTTTATCTTCCAAAAGCCTCCCTACAACCCAGATACAGCCATTTCTGCAGTGCAGATGGAGACTGAGACAAAACACTGGGAACAGAGTCAGCAATGGAATCCAGATATCCAGTATCAGATATCACATGCTTTAACAAAATTATTTCTTTCACTGTAGTAGAGCCCCATTGGCACTAACAGCTAAAGGAGCTCTGAAGTACCAGCTGCATACATAGCTCCTACACCCTGATGCTGGGGTGCTGACAGAAGTTAGGCAGGTATCTCCAGCTCTACTCCGGCAAGCTTAGTCTTCAGCTCAGGATTATGGTCTAGGCTTAAAGAACACACAATCAGTAGTTCCTTCTCTCTAAAAGCTGTATAAAATTATGCAAGGAATGCGATAGCAGCATTATGAACTTAAACTGTGCTGCTCAAGGGGCACCAGGCTCTCCACTGCAATGGTCTTGCTCAGTTTCATCAGCCCACTGGTTTAGCTACAACAGGCTTTTCTCAAGGATATGAAATCACCCCTGGAAACAGGAGGTAGATGCTTTCTGGGATCAGTCACTTCCCAAGCTAGTTCTCTGCTCACATGCTAAGCAGTCTTTAAGGCCCTGAATATTTCTCCTGTTGTCCTCCACCTGTTCACTGGGAGGCACAGGCTTTACACAGCTGACGTGCTAGGAAAGATGGCAAGGGCAGCCCTCTCAGCACGAGTGAGGTGTCCCAACTGCACAGTGCCTGAGTTCAGCTCTCATGTACGCTGCTCTCAGCCTGAGTGCCACAATTTGCTTTCACTGATGTTTCTGGAAACTGAATCTTCCACGTGAGCTGCAGTCCTGGTAGGTAGCCAGCATGATTCCACTACAATGACGGAGAATCACTGACTGGAGAGGTCAGCAGCCACCCACTGAGCTGAGCACTCCCCCAGAGCTGTAGGACAATCAACTGCTTCCCAAAGCTGGTCTGCCCTGGGGTGACTTCAGCTACCACCGCCCATCTGGTGGATCTCTAGTATGCTTGTCCTTGGGAGCTGCACTACCACGTTGCTCTTTACAGTGAGGAAACAGATCTGCACAAAGGAGACTGCGCTGCAGGGACACCAGAGCAAACCTGGGGCCCTCTAACCAGCTACCCCAGAGAAGATCTAGGCACTTCCATCAGATCCAGGTGGAGCACGGTAGGAGCCAAGGACCAGGCAGGCAGACTGTTTCCTGATACAAGACTGAGGTTTCCTGAGCCACTGCACCTTGAGGAGCAAGAAAACTCTGTAAATGGAACATGACATCTAACAGCTGGAAAGAAGGACCAAGAGCAATGATTTCCCACATGAGGGATCAGGAAGCACCTGGCTATACTCAGTTTTGCCTCTGAGTGACAGAAGAGCTACGCAAAAGAGAAACACAAGAAGTATTAATATGTTTTTCAGTGATCTAGAGCCAAGATGGACAAATCTTCAGGACACACTAACAGTGGACCACATCTGAGCCAGCTCATGTTTCACCTGAAGTGGAAAGGATTTGTCACCTCCCTCCCAGAAAGTCTTACTCCAAAACCAAGAAAGAAAAGCCTCCATTGCACACCTGAGGGAGTAGCAAAGAGCCAAGTTCAGAGACAACCAGGCCAGCACTCTCATGTGACACACGGGCCTGGTACCATTGTGCTGTCCTAAGGGAAGAAACCTTCATACAAGCCGTTAGTATTGACAACAGTTTCTGCCTCTTGCCAGTGGCACTCTGCTTCCAGCAGCTCCTTGGAAACACTGCCTGCAGGAAGCCTGCTGACCCAAAGGATCAGACAAGCCTACTGAAAACCTGGGAACAAATTCAGGAAGTTAATCACAGTCAGAGGATGAGCTAAGGCAGTAAGACACAGGACTTCAAACTTTGGCACAGAACACCATACACGTGCCTGGGGCTTTATGGACCCCCTAGTGCCACCTGCCCCTTTCTGACATCCCAAAGTGCTGCACGTGAAGACTTGAGGGGATTCTGTAGGGGGGGCTACATGAGATGCATGAATCATTAGCTCCAGTCTACCTTTCTCATGCAATGGCACAGTGTCCCCAGTTAGATCCTCCTCCCTCTTCCAAAGGGTCATACCCAGCACTCAGCAGATTCCTGAGGCCTCTACTCCTTCAGGGTTACCCACCACTCCCAGAAGTATGCATTTATTTTCCTTTCACCTTCTCTTTCCTCAGTGCACAGCAAATAGGAACTGAACTTCACACCTCAGCCCCCTTTGTTGATTTGGGTTTTTTGTTTGGGTTTTTTTTTTTTTTTTTTTACATTTCTTCCATCTCCCTCCGGATCTGCAGCAGCCATTCTCACCTCAGGTATGGAAAAGTAGGGAACGGAGGTGAAAGCAGGGGAGGAAACAATCAATGTGTGTGTGTGATCAGTCAGGTCCAGAAGCCACTTGACCCAGAGAGATCAGAGTTTCCCCTACAACAATGGGTGAGCCTGGGAAGCAAATCAAGCAGACTGAATGATTTCTGGCAGAGAGAGAACAGTAGGAGTGGTACAGACCTCTTCCTCCTCAATGCGAGCAGGTTCAATCAGCAGATTATTGGCTTGATCAAACGACACCCCCTGTTAGGACAGGAACCAGCAAAGAGGCATGCGGATTAGTGGAGCATAAACCAAACCCACCACCACTACCACCACCACCCAACACACAAACGCACACCACTCTGATAGGTCTGGCCACACGGCACCAGAGCAGACCCCACTCACACGACTCCTGATTACCACCTACCAGCAAGTACCAGCGACAGGGCTGCTCCCGGGGCTCACAACATGCAGAGTGTCAGTGCTCTTTGGCTCAGCTAACTGGAAGCTGCATCTTTAAGGCCACATTTTGTCTGTGCTGGCACTCTGAGGCTGTGACCACCAAGCTCACAAGCTGAACGCTATTAGCCGATTTCACCCCCTCTGTACCAAGTCATTCAGTGAAGAAGGAAGGATTAAACAACACAGGAGAAAAGCACAAAGGGACCTCTGGTGCCACCCAGCTGCTGCACAGGAATGAAGTGATCCTGAATCAAACTGCATTGGTCCCTCCTGCCAAGGGAAGAGCCTCCAGTGGAACAGTGCATCCTGCCAGACACCCAGGGATCCTGCTCCCAAATGCAGGAAACCTTATAATTTCTCTTGAAAACCAACTGCCTTTGCAAAAAACCCTCTGGTTTAAGGATGCAGCCTCCTGCACACTCTGTCCTACCTCCTTCTTCAATGCATGTATGCAGCACCTCTTGAAACTCCACTCACAGGGTCACTGCTCCTCACATTCTCACTTCTGGAAGATGGCTCAGGAGGCAAGCTAATAAACCTGCCTCCATGAAGCAGGCATCCAACCCAGCCCCATGAAAAGGAAAACTGTGATTTCCAGGCAGAAGGCTTAGCCAATAACAAAGGTAACTTTCCGATAGGTACACCAAACCTGTGGTCTCAATGCCTGTGTAGACTTCACGGCTTTGCCAATGGGTCAGTGCATCCTCAGCTTTGAGTCCCTGACTAAAATAAGCTTTTTGGATGAGGGCATTTCCCAAGTATGGCAGGTATTGGATGAAGGGGACTCAAGATGGCTTCACACATTCTTAAAAGCAGCAGCAACTCCTTTTCATTCTGAAGAACTTCACAAACAGTAGGGAAACTACATGCCTCATCCCTAGGGATGAGCTGTATCAGCTCAGATACAGCAAGGCAAGCATCTGCTGAGAGAAAGGCTCCAAAGCAAACTTGAGTGCAAGAACCTTCCCCTGAGCAATCTGAACTCCAGCGTGGGGTGGAAATGATCCCAACAACCTGGAGTGTGTGTGGTAACAGCAAGAACAGATTTTACTCCAGCATCTTCCACCAGTTCAGAGACCCACATTCTCACCCATGAGATTTGTTGGTGTCAGACTATGATGGAGATTCAGCCACATCCTAACCCCTGCCTGCCAAACACACCTCACAAAATCATCACACCAACTTCAGTAAGAACTGGTCTAACCTCATGCATTGTCCCTCATCAGTATATTCCTATTCCACTGTGAGGATCTTCCTCAAGCAAGAATCTCTGTGTGTCCCCAACCAAACATGCTGATTCAGCTGAGTAGAGCCAAGGACCTCCTATCTCATCAGCCCCCAGCACAACCAGAAAGGCCCATCGCAGCCCCATGGCAATGGCAGAACTCGAGAGCACAAGTTCCCCTAAATCCCAGTGCACACTTCATCAGACTGCATGTGCGCTGGGGCAGGCACAGGGTGGAACCAACGGGAAGGGCACACTCCTGTCTGCTCTCACTACCCACTCCTCTCCAGGAAGCACTGTGCCAGAAAGACAAGTGTAAGCAGCCTGAACATAAGCCTGAGATTAGATCCATCCAGGGATAAAGCTCCTCCTGTTGCAAATGAGGTGCAACAACCAGCAAGCAAGGAGGCGATTGAAAGGAATGGAAGAACCTGTCAGTGATGGGACAAAAGAACTGTTCTTGCAGCACAGAACACAACATCACACATAATGGGGAGGGTAAAAGAATCTGGATGCAGCACAAGGAGTCAGACATAAGCAACATGGCACAGCTCTTGGACAATCATATGAGCCCCAGAAAGAACTTCAGCTCTCCCACCCTCAGCATGTCTCTCCTGAAGTGCTGGAGCTTCTTGCCAATGTTTTCATTGGTACCACATCAACCTGGTTGGTAGTTCAAAGCAGCAGAAGGGAGGTCGGGCACCCCTCTGACCTTCCCCCCTCCCCACAAGACCTTACCTTCACTGATGGCTGAGCAGATAAAGCTCCATTCTTTCTGTCATCCTCATCCCACACTTCCTCCTGGTCCTCAGGCTCTGTGTTGTTATTGCAGCCTCCTAACTCCTCTTCCTCTTTGGGGACTCCATCACTGTTCAGCCCCTGCAGGAGTGCCACCACTGCCTCCGGCTTGGGCAGTTTAGTTATCTTAAAATGTTTCTTATAATGGGGTGTGTCCTTGCGGATAAGCCTCTGTTTCTCCACTGGGAATGGTCGCTCTTCATCTTCATCCTCATCCTCACTCCGTATTAGCGTGTCCTCAGCAAAGTGTACAGTGGGCTACAATGGCAAAGCCCCAGAAAGGTTGTGAACCTCAGGTAACAGCCATATCTGGAGGCAGTGCAGAAACCTGCTGTCCACCCCCACCCCCACCCCGCCAACACAAGCAAAGCCAGCATTGCTGCTTTTGTGCTAAACAAGATGCAGGAATACACATTAAAATTTCACCATACTTGCCTTTTTCCGTAGCAACTCCTTGACCCAGACACATCTTCTGTCAGCTCCAGGATCTGAGGGCACTCAAACCTGTAACCCTGATTTTCCCATAGTCCCTGCGTGGCTCCTACACCGTCCTTCCTAGTCTGCCACGGACCCAGCTCCCACAGGCTGCCTGACTGTCTACATGCACTCGGCTTCCATGGCCTGTATTTGCCTCCAGTGATGCCCAAATCACACTCTGTACATCCATTTACCATTTTCTCTGAAACTTCCGAGTCCTTCCACTTTTTATCATGACCCTGCTGCAGTTCCTAGGCTCCTACCTCATTGTATTCCACTTCCACATCTTCTTCCTCTTGGTCAGCAGCTTCCTTATGCTCCTCTTCAGCTCTCGGCTTTGCCTCCTTCTCCAGCTCCTGCATCTCAGGCACCTGCCCATTTGGCCAGCTCCTCTCTCCCTCCTCTCCCTGCTCCTCTCCTCTGAAGTCAGCAGAGGCAGTGCTGTTGGAAAGGTGGGAGTCCTCACTGCGATTTGACATGGCGCTCAGCCTCTTCTCCTGAGAAGATGATTGTAAAAGTTAAGATGGAAACCAAAGCAGCAGATGGAGCAATGTAGTGTGACTGGTGTGAGGTGGGGTATGATCCACGACCAACAGAACCAGCTTTTTCTTCAGGCTGCCCGCTGCTTTCCCTGCCAAGCCTGCTGCATCTCACCTAGGTCCACCCCTGTTCCACCATTTGTGTAGGCATTTATTCTTAGTATCACACCTGGGCAGCAAGATGCCTCCTCCGAGCATTCCGTTCCCATCATTCTTTACTGGGAATATCAGAGCCTTCTTTTGATCTCCCCGTGTTATGACAAAAGTAGTACCAATGCACACAATTCCCCTTATACCGTTCTCTGTCTCCTGGTTGCATCTCTTGCTTTATCTCAGTGGCCCTAGCTGACACCACAAGGCAGATTCCAACCCTTGGAATCCAGGCAATCCATGCTCAGTCCCTTCCAATCTTTCCCAAAAGTTAAGTTCTTTCTGCCCAGCTTACACACACTGCCTCTGCATTCCCCAAGTCTGCTCCATGTTCTCTATGGTTATCCATTTCTTACTGAACAGCACTCACTTCTGAGTTGGGAGAATTCAGGTCCGTGTCAGGCTTTGCAGCATATGCCTCATTGCGCCGAACTTCAATCACTTTCTTCATAACCTTCAGTTCACTGGGATGAGGGGTTGCTCTGCGCTGTAAGCCCTACCAAAGAAAAACACTCAGAGCGGGAGATTCAACAGTCAGAGCAGCATGTGTGATGCCTCAAGACTGAGCCAAGCCTTCACAAACTCTTCTTCTTACCCGTCTCTCAGCTCCAGACTCCTCTTCATCATCTACTTTGGGTTCATCCAGGAACTGAATCACACTGACTCTGTTCAGATTGGTGTCTGTCCAGCTCTCATCCACACTGTTCTGCAAAAGATTCTCTGGGGAGAAAGATAACGCCGTGGGAGCTACTGAAGAGCAGGGTTGTAGGCTTGGATGAAAGACAGTTCTCAACCTATTAGGGCACTTCTGTTGTATCTGCCCATGGTATCAAACAACAGAGGCCTTGAGGACAAAGGACGTAGCCTCCAGACCTTGTCACCTCTTCTACGCCTCCCACCAGATCTATAGCAGCCTCTACAAAAGGACCTGAACGGTTCAGCTCTAACACTCCTTACCCAAGAACTAAGGAAAAAGGTAGGATTAAGGCAGGAATCAGAATTATTGACACAAGAACATCATCATGACAGGAAGCAAACCTTACAGACAGTGAACTACTTGGTCAATAGATCAAAGCAGAAGACTTGAAGACTAGGCTGCAGCTTCTTTACCACCTGGCAGAGAAGCAATTTCTCAGTGTTAACAATCTGTCTTGGAAAGTTGTCACCGGCCATTCAGGAGCCTAGGTCTGCTACAGGTATCCCAGTAATGAAGAACAGACTAACCAGGCAGAGAGGAAGGTTCAAGGCCTCTTCCCTACAGCACTCTCCAGAGTACACGGTACTGCAGTCAGTGTTCAAAATGCAGTCTCTTACCTAGGCTAGGAGAGGGCTGCTGGGGAAGCAGGTAACAAGTGAGAACTTTTTCTCCTGTCTTTTCATCATCCTCTGTTTGGAATTTCAGCATGGGCTGGGACTGATTTTCTGCCAGCCACAGGGCTTTCAGGTTAAGATTTGTCAAAGCAAACGGCAAGTTCTGCAGTCTGCAAAAGAAAAGAAGAACTGCTGGTTGAACTTACTTGGTGATGAAAGAACTTCAACTCAGCTCCAGACTGCCTCACCTGCGTTGGAGAAGGACAGAGCCAAGCCACTGCAGGATCCCTCACTCTTATACACGCCGAAGCAGCTGGTTCGTGCTGCATATGGCTCTGCCACAGCCACAGACTGGACGCCAGTAACCCACCCTCATCCATTTTTAGCAGAGGACAACTCCCATCAACAATGTGAAATGGTGAACTTTTTTTAAGAGGTGTTTGAAGGCAGAAAAATTAGGCCTGCACGGACCAGTATACGGAGAGTGCTCCAAACAGAAGTTCTGGTCAGCTTCCAACCGCTACCAAAAATACCAGCCTCAGCTAACAGAACTGCAGCTAAAATCTGCAGAATCTGTCAGAACAGATCACAGATATTTGCACACTGTGGAGTTGTGCACATCACAAACAAGGCTTTGGCACCAATCACCTGAGGACTGATGACACAAAACTACAGAATCTGCAGGAAGGAAGACAGTGGACCAGGGATTTCCCCTGATCTTTATTTCACACATGGCAAAATGCCCCCACTCTTCTGCATCAGTTCTGCCCTGTGTTCAAGTAACACAGAGGAGGGCTTAACAGGCAAAGCTTGAGACACACACACCGCCTCTTTCCAGAGCCCTAAGCAGCCAGTCTGGGCTTCTCCAAACTGCGGATCCTGGGATCAGCACAGATCCAGTATTTCCCAAAACACACCAGGGCCCAGCCCATGCTGCTCCTTCACAGCAGCCTCCTTCGGAACATCCCTGCAAGCCTGTTTACCCTTCCTGCTGCTGACCTGTTCCCGGCTACATCCAGGACATGAAGCTCAGTGGTGTTGGCAAGCTCCGGTGGCAGGAGGGCCAGGCGATTGTCTCGCAAGGACAGCACGTTCAGATTGGCGCAGCCTCCAATCTCAGCTGGAAGGGATGTTAGCCGGTTCCGATCCACGTTCAGGTTTGTCAGCTTGGCCAGCTTGCCAAGGGACTTTGGTAAGGCCTAGGAAGGAGATGATTCCATAGTTGCAAAAGATAAGAGCAGTAGAATAAAGGTCTAAGGCATAAAGCCCTTTATCTGGGGGAAAAAAGCTGCCTTCTGTGCCAACAGACAGATTTGTGATAAAGTTCTCACTACAGTTTTGGGACAGAGTTCCCTTCAGGCTCACACAGTTACATGCCAACTCTTCACCTCAGCACAGCACGCTCAGAACACCACTGGTCAAGATTTTTCTCCTGTTCATCTGCCCATTCCCAATACTTGTGTTTTAGCAATCAAATCATAAGCAGTTTGGAGCAGGGCCATTTTAAATTACACTACTCCATGGCCCCTCACCAAATGCAGCTTTAGATGTAGTCCTGCTCCCATCAGATTGGATGGGCTTCAGGACTGGCTATCCTAGAGCCAGTGTCCTAGCTATCTTAGAGAGTTTCTCAGAAGAAAAAACCAAACCAAAAAACAGTGAAAGCAAGCAGCTTCCACCAGGGTCTTCTCAAGAGCCTGTGAGCTAGGTGAAACTCTGTGCATCAAAGCAGCTGAAGGGAGAGCAGCTGGAGCATGCTCAGGAATCTGGCTCAGAGGCCGTAAGACAGAACAAGATCCCTAGCATGTGGCTAAACTGAACAGCACGGGAGAGGCAGGGTGGCTGCTGGTGTACTTACTGTCAGCATGTTCTCTGTCAAGATGAGTTCTGACAGATTTTCACAGTCCCCAATTGACTCTGTCACCTCTGTCAGCCGATTCTGGTCCACCTTGAGGATGGAGAGCTGCTTCAGCTGACCTGGCCAGGGCAACAAGCTAGGTGTGAACCATGCCACAGAGATACTGATGCTGTTCTATGTTCATCTGGCTGAAATGCCTCCCATCAGAGATTACGTACTCTAACAATACAGGCACCACCTTTCTTCCCCATCAGGCTTGTTCACACGTTGCACCCATGCATGATGCAGATCAAGAATGTGAACTTGTCCTGTAGAGTTCCGCTCATCAGTATCGTCTATTGCTTCTGCACTCAACTATTGTGACCATGTCCATCAAGCCCTAACACCTTGTTAGAATCACAGAATCGTTTAGGTTGGAAAAGACCTTTAAGATCATCAAGTCCAACTATTAAACCTAACACTGCCAAGTACACCACTAAACCAATTAAGGGTACATCCACTCTTGCTTGAAGCCCCCCCACCAGGAACACTGCCTGGGCAGTGAAGTCCTGCACTGCTCCCCATCCTGCAATACTCACCAATCCCATCTGGAATGCATTCCAACAGGTTCTGTGAAAGGAGCAAGTCCGTCAGCGCTACTAGCCCACTGACCTCGTTGGGCAACTGCTCCAGCTTGTTCTCTGACACATCCAGGCAGACTAAGCGGCGGAGATTGCCCAGCTCCTAGGATCAGAAAGGAGACATCATGGCTCGAGGGAGCAGCTGAGGAAGGGAGCAAAGTGGTGAATCAGTGGCCCTGAACAGGTACTCACTGGAGGCAGGGCTGAGAGCTGGTTCCGGTCTAACCAAAGCTCACGCAGGTTTGGTAGCGCTCCCAGAGTATCTGGCTGTAACAGAGCAGGACAGTAAAAGCATCAGTCCCTTCCACAGGGTAGAAGCTGATCTAGGATGCTACAAATCACACCACACCTCTGCAAAGCTAGACATTGTTACTGCTTTCACACCTCCTAGAACCATTCACCAAATGGTTTATGAAGCTAACGTGTTGGTGTGCCACAATATAGCAGCACATACGTTTGGAAATGTCTGGGAAGGCATACTGGCTGCAGAAGGTCCCAACAGGAAACATGGAAGACAACAGCAAGGACTTCCCTGGTAACAGGCAAGACAAGAACTAAACTGGGTTTTGGAAATTCTAGCCTTATGGAAGAAATGAGTCTTTCTCCTCTTCCTCCTCTCAGTCATGAAAACAAACATTTGTATGACACTGGCCAACTCAACGTGATGTAGCAGCACCATCAGCAATGGTAGACATTTGTTCATAGCATCACTCCACAAACACCACACACACTGATTAGCATTTGGGTTTGGAGTTAATGCACCACTGGAGTGTGGTTCAAGTGTCAGACAACTGTCCTCACAAGTAAGCTGCAGCCTTGTGCACAGCAAGCTGCACGAACTCCTTTACCTCCCAATTCAGATGGGTTTCTGCCAAAAAGTATTCCAGAACATTAAGAGCAGCATTCAGTAACAGCTTAATCCATAGCTGCAAAATTAAAGAATATCACTGGATGTCCCTGAATGTCAAGACAAGCTGAATTTCAAGACTGTGCACTGGCTCTCAGCATGCTTATGCTCAGAGCCCTCCATGGAGGCACCCCAGTCCAGAGGGCACATACCCCATGCTTGGCTGACTTCACTGCCAGGAACAACATGGAATCATCCTGCACTTTGCAGTAGAGAAATCAAATCAGAAGGAGAAAGGCAGAAAGTTGGCCTAGCAGAAGTCAAAAACAACAGCTGAGGGCAGTGCAACACAGAAGAGAAAGGAAGCACCACAGAGTCTCATTGGAAAGGAAAGGTCCTTAGGCAGCTAGATAGCAAGAATTAACATCCCAAAGTGCTTGGAAAGAGCTGAGCAAGTAAGTTGTGCATGAGGACAGTAGGAAGCAAGACACAAGGGCCAACACATGAAGAGAACATTATGCTGGGAACAGTGACTACACCATGGTGGGCAGATCAGAATCTTCCCAAACAGCTTGTGGGTCTATTTCTTTGCATTTCAGATGAAAACCCACTTGTTTCCACAGAGGTACAGGGTTCTGCCCCTACCAACCACCCATATTCCCTCCCCACCATCCCTCACCTACCAGTACTTCCAGGTCATTGCCACCAAGATCCAACTGTTCTAACTTGACAAGGAAGGAGAGTGAACTGCAAGATACAGGGAGTAGAGAGGGGAAGAGAGAAAAAAAAAAAGAAAGAAAGAAAGAATGGAAGGTTAGCATCTGGGACACACATCTCACAAATTACATAATTTTTAATAACTGCTAAAACAGGTGGGGCAATCCTGACCTTTTTCATAGTCCCTCTGAGCCAAGTAACTTAGGGGAGTTGGTACCCTTCCCCAGGCCAGACCATCTGCACCAGGGAATTGGGTTCAGTAGCACCAGCAGTCCCAAAGCGGCCGGTTCCCACTCTGTCACCAATTTGCCTTCTCCCCCTCCCACCATGAAATACTCTTTGAGCAAAAACATGACAGACGACACGCCACACCTTCACATTGCTGCCCACTTCTGTAGCAAGGATGGGGACCTGGGCACAGACTAACAGATAACAGGAGACAGTCAGCAGAGGACAATACATATTTAGGGGGCAAGGGAAGCATAGCTGCAGGGAGAGGCAGGAATGACAAATTCAACAGCCTCAGTTTCCCCAAATGAAATGCCCATGCTGCTCAAGAGAAAGGGAAAGACACTGGCACGATGTCTCAGAAGAGGTCAAGACGTACAGACAAGAAGCACACTAGGCACAATACTGCGAGAAGCCTGCGCAGGAACCAATGCCTGTCAACACTGGTGGTCCAAGGACGTGCCCTGAGTATCCAAACACATTATGACCTGGTGATATAAAAGCCTGCAGTCTGCAACCCCACAAAACCAGGATTCAGTTCTTCTGACATGGCTCAGGTGTTCAAGCGTCCTCAGCTCTCAGCCCTACCCCATCAACTCCAGCCCCCACTTCCCCAAACAGGGGTTGCTGTCTCTCACTTTACACCAGGGCAGAACTGCCATCTCAGCCCTGCCACTTCCCCAGTAGGGAGGGTCCTCAGTTCTTTTTATTCTCTTCATAAGGAATCGTCCTAATACAGAAATCACTGTATTTCTCTGGAAATAGAGCTATACATTTCAATGCCATCCAAGCTAAGGAAGTTGGGGGCTGCAAATCTGTGAGAAAGCAATAAAAGAGATCTGTCTTGCCGGGGCCAGGCTATAAAAATATTTGGGCTACACAGGAAAAGCAAGTTCTTACCTTATGCAGTGGTGGATTTTGAGATATTATATTAACTCAAGCAAAGGTTTATCAACAGGATCATCAAAAGGATTCTGTCGTATAGCAGTCTCTTATTATGACTGCACATCTGCTCTTTGACTTCTCTGAAGGGTGAAGCAGCCCTGACTGTCCCTTCGCACCTTCACAGTTTAAATTCCCAAAATAGAGACAAGTGAGCTGTGGAATCCACGTTGATATATGAGGTCTTGCAAATTACCTCAGTATAGATCACCCTCCACTATCCCATGGGAATATATCAACAAGAGCTACCCTTCCCAAATTATTGGCAAGCTGTGTCCCATCTGCGTGGGAGAGATGAGGAGTGATAATCAGCTGTACAAGATGAACTGTTTCAGAACTCAGACTAATCAATTAAGTTTTGACAAGTAAAGGTCATTGCAAGATGGATCTTTTAAGGAGCTCAACAACATCAAAAATCAAAAGGACACTGATGCATTATACAGTCACAAATTCACAGTATTGAAGCCCATCTACCTGCTGGGCTCAGTAACCTTGAAAACTGAAAGCATCATCCAGTTCAGTAAGTCATTCTACTCTTTGGCAAGATCACTTGGACTTGTTAGAGCCATTCTTCAGCCCAATTTGCAACCAAACTAAGTACAAGAGCTTTGACCTGGGTAGAGTATCTGACAGTACCAGTGAAGTTTCTTTGGCCATTGATTTCAATCTCATATCTGACTGATACATCTGATGAAAATTGCCTTGGCCTTCAAGATCCTCTTTCTACTTTTGGAAATCATCCAAAAGTACAATTTGGGGAATTAGGGAAAAATGAAAAGAAGCAGGAGTTGCACTGCAGAACGAGTATCAACCCCAGACTTATCTTTCAGAGAAAAAACCCCAAAACTCATAGGATGCTACAAGTATCTTGCTGGATGGCATACAAATCTAACATAGGGAAACAAGGGAGCACTGGGCATGAGAGCTCTCCCCAGAAACCATATGGGTTTGGTCACAGACTGAATTCTCAAACTCCAGATACTTGCTGGTTCCTAGATGGTGAAAAGCCATTGGGACCATTCTTCACTGCAGTTTGAAAGCCCAACTTTGGATGTAGCTATTGCACCTCTTCGTTTATATGGTGTATCACAGTGATGGTACCTGTCTGTATGAACACAAAGAACACATGGAACAGACAGCAGTGGGTCCCAACACCAGGACCCAAACTTCTCCTGCTTGCCTGTTCTCGGCCTTGCATAAGGAGCTTTGGCTCTCACGTTCTCCCTTGTGGCTATATTCCACGTGGGGCCATCACAGCTGGTCTTTTAATATCACCTTTCTGTGACAGGGTGTTAATGCTGACAACTGTGCAGAAAAGATCCAGTGACTTTGGCATCGGAGACAAGATGACAGTGTTAATTTGAACTACGCTTCTACATTGTGTAATCATCAGATGTGAAGCCTGGGAGCTGACCAGTGCAAACTCTTTCAGCTCCTTTTTGGAAGTGTCTTGTCCTCTGAGTCAAAGCTGACACATGAATTCTACAAGCAGATATAACTGGTGTCATGTACTTGCAGGTCCCAGAGGAAAATAACCATCAGGAAGAGCATGCACCTGAGTCAAAGCAACATCTCACAGTGAGGGAGGCATGGCCATCACAGAAGAAGCAAGACTAAAACCCTAACTGCTTAGAGTCTCAAAACCTTGCTTGAACACTGTATCATCAGATGCCTCCTTTGCCCTCTTTTTTAAATAAAGCAGAGGAGCAAGGTGGGAAAGTACAGGTAGCCAAATTGAATGCTTGCCATGAATAGTAAGAGGGCACTGAGGAAAGGTGGCAATAGTTGCAATGCTTCACACATTCACTGAGGAGTCTGTGTGGCCGCAAAACACACTGCTATTCAAAAAGAAGTCGGGTAGAATCCCTTCCAACACATATTTAAGGAAGACTGGGGGAATCATCAGTCGGATAGATAAGCAGGCAGAAAACAAGCTGACAGAGCCAATGTAGGTTAGAAAACAAACAGCTCTCATGGGCTCCAAACCAGAGATTAATATGCAGACTCATTAGTTCTCCACATCCTATCTACCTGATAGCATCAGCTGTACCAACCAGATCCTCTACCAGGAATTCATCTCTGCCCCTAACTCTCTGAAACATTTAACAAGACTTACCTCTTTCTCACTTGCTGGCTTATTTTTTGTCTGCTGCAGGAAAGGCAGTTATCCCACCCATTCCCACAAACTGCTCAACCAGAACAACCAGAAGGGATTGTTCAGAAGGTAACAGAGATGTCAGAAGCAAAATATATCTTCAGCCGTATTCTGCTGCTCTTCACATTATGAACTTCACTGTATACAGAGTTCTTTCTATACCCACATCAGTACATTTTTCTCTCTTTTTCCAAAAGAATCTGTCATCTGCTCCAGCTCTCCAGGAAAAACGGTTTTCACCATTTCCAGCAGCTTTCTTGTGGAACCCTGTCTATTCCAAATCAGTCCTGACACAGAGGCTGACTCTGTACAGACTCTGAGCATCCTTCCCTGCTCTTCAGCCCTGTAACATCTCTCTCCCTCCTCACCCCAATTTACAGAAATCCAGCAAGATGCAGCTAATTTCTGCAAAGCCTCGAGCCCTCCCGAGCAAAGTGCTAGAGCCTGTACTACAGAAACAGCAAGTCCCTGAGGAATCAGTAAGAACGATCAGGCAGGAGACTCCTGAAGCCACCAGACAGACACTCACGTGGGGAGAGTCTTTAGCAGGTTCTCACGTAGCTCCAAAGTCACCAGGTTTGCCAAACTGCAAGAGAAGAGGGAGCGAGAAAGCCAGATTCACTGAATAGGGCTTCAGGGATACAAGGAGATGCTCATATCCCTTCCCCTGGGACCACCCCTCATGACCTGCACAAACGAATATACATGAGTGCATACACATGAATGGAGATGACAGGGGAAAACAAAAAACAAAGAGGATCTTAAGTGACTTCTGATGAAGGTGACTGCTTATTGCAAAATCATGGGGAAACAACACTGTGCCCAAACTCAGGACAAGGAAACATGGTATCACATACAGGACCGTCTGCCCAAAAAGATAAAATCCCTCATGTGTAGAAAGCCAAATCCCATGGGATTTGGGAGGGGCACTGCACCCCATGGGCAAAGCCTGTGGGCTTTGCCTTGGCCATCTGCTAGCAGCATAAATCATTTCAACACCATCGGACAGACCACACCTGTTTGGAAAGGGGCAATCGAGCACTCATAAAATAAGGAAAGATAGAGGATTTGAGAAGCCTGGATGCACTCCTTGCCTGTGCCACAGACCACAGAGGAGGAGAAGCAGCTGAGACCAGGAAAGGAACCTTTTTTAAAAAGGCTGTCTTTTAACAAGAATAATGCTTAGAGGTGCTCACACAGTGAGCAAGCTGTAACTGGGATGGCATGCTCTTCCCCTCCAAGTCCTGCTAGTGTCGCCACCCCAACAGCATGGTGTCCCCACCCCGATCCTCCTCCCCTTTATGAGGAACAGGGGCATACTCACTTCCCAATGTCACTGGGGATGCTCTGCAGGGACACATCATTCAAGGCCAAATGGCCCAGGCTCCGAAGCTGTGTGAAGCCGTCTGGAAGCCTGTGAAAGCATGACAGAACAAACCACCATTAATTCTGTGCACAAAACAAGCCCTAAATTCCTCACTTAAATCCCCAAAAAGCCAGTCTTATCCCAATTGGTATAAACACGTGGAAAGGAGAAGAGCAGGAACCAACTCTGACCCTGGCTCCTCATCCAGAACATGCCCTGTTTCCAAGACAACAATACCCCCTTGCACCAAAGTCATTACATGTCCAAGTGTGCAAACTTGGCTCTGCAGTACTCAAGCATGAATCCCAGACTAAATTATGCCATGTGATCACTTAAACTTGGAAGCTGGGAGGGCTACCAATTAATCCAAATGCACACCTAAGGATATCTCTGCAGATGACACTGCAGCATTCCCCAGGACCAAGTAGTTACTATCACAACAGCTCCAAGGTGCAACAGAACAGGGAAAGAGCCATGAAGAGGAGAAATCCTTTGCTGTTCACAGGCAGTTCCTGGAGCAGGGCTTCCCTGCCCCACTGCTCATGACACACATCTTACAAGTCTGGGCAACAAGAAGACTGACAAATAACTTCTAGCGTAGAGGTGCTGGTCATTCCTGTGGTACAGGGATTCCGAAAAGCTTGTGCCATTCTGGCAGTGTCTGGCACCACAAGAGGGAAGCAGAGAGTTAAATCTATTTAAAGGCTGACTTGGGCAGCGCTTGCCCAGGAGCACAAAGTGCAGCAGGCATCTGGAGTCAGACTGGCATCTACAGGGACCCTGGCAGACAACGTGTCAAGACACCAGTGCCTTGAAAGCATGGTTCACCAAGGCAGAGGAGCCACACTTAAATTCCCAAAACATTATGGATTAAGAGCTGTAGAGACAGAAGACTGAAGAGACAAGGCAGAGAGCCCTGTTCTCGGACATAACTCTGGGCACTGGGATATCAGGGAAACCAACCAAACACAGAGTTCAAAGGACAGCCATCCGAAGTTATAAGTAAGAAGACAGAGAGCAAAGAGGACCTTTCCCTGCTCTTCTGTAGTGCAAGTCCATATCCATTCTGGTTTGTGCACCAGGGTGGAGGGGTGGGGAGGGAGTAACAAACTTATTCCAAGAGGACAAAAGTCCTCACCATTCACACCAGTGGCAACAGTATGACTAAAGGCTCATCAATCCAAGCCACAGGCCCCGCAGAAGAGGGAGCACACACCAGCTCTTCCCTATGCTGAGCGTTCCACCTGTCAGGAGAGCAGACATCTGCAGGTCTTGGCAAGGGCAGGGTGATCCTAGGCCTTGATTTCAAGGGAAGACAATTACAAGATGAAGATCAGAGAAAGCTACAGAGAATGAGGAACTTCAACTCTCATTCTCAGCTGGACTAAAGGGTTGCATATGCCTTCCTACCTGGAGAGAGGATTCCCACTGAAGTCTGCGATTTCCAAGGATTTGCAGAATTTGATGCTTTCAGGGATTTCTGGAATGTCTGGAAAAAATACATGAAAGAAAAAAAGAGGCTTGAGAAGAGCCTATCATGTGGAAAATGGGACACCAAGTAGTGGCGACAACCTAAGACACAGTAAGACAACCATATTTTCATAGCTCGGGACCCACGAGAGATCACTCTGGAGGACTGTGAAAGGGTACTGCCTCTTCCTGAACACGAGTGCACAGGGTAGTACTACTACACTGAGAGAAACAGGGCTATGGGGCACCCACTCCCCATTTAGCTTTATCCTTACCATTACGGGAGATGTCCAGTTCCACCAGCTGCATGAAGTTGGCAACCTCAGGGGGAAGTCTCTGGATTTCATTGTCACTCAGACCCAGCTTGCGCAGGTTCAGAAGCCTAAAGAAAGGCTATAACAGGAGAGAACAAAACTGGGTCAGCAGCAGTTCTGTGGGAAACCTGTCTTCTCACCTCAGGGCAAACCTGAGCATGCACCCCTGGAGACAACCGCCTTCTCTCATAACCTCTGTCCTGGTGGGTCCTCAAAGTGCAGTTGCTGCACAGATGAGAACCCCAATTAAGGTCTACAAGAGACAAGGGTGAAAGAAGAAAGGCATCTAATGAGTTTAGCTTGATGATTCATTTAACATCTCTATTATCCCGCTGCTCTTCTCCCTCCCTTGTAGGACACAAAATGGATGTTCCCTGTTTCCTAAGACAACAGTTCATCTTAGGCATTCAAATACTAGCATGACGAGGAAGTCGCTATAAAGCAGCTTGCCAGCAGACACTAGAGTGTTTATGAGTCTGGTCCAGAGAAGCCAACAAAGGAGAAACGCAAGGGGTCTTCCAGACCAAAAATTCCTTTCTAGAACCACCACAGTCATAGAAACGTTGACTGGAAGGGACCTCTAGAGGTCTCCTAGCCTAACAACACCCAGCTGCTTCACACCTACCCGTGTTCTCTCAGAAGTGAATTGTATCAGCTATAAATGGTAAGTTGCAAGATTCATCAATCATACTCTAGACATCAACAGCCTCTCAGTAAGTTTAACACAGTAAGTTTAACTAAACACAACATACTATAATTATCAACTGAACAAAACTTGCAGCTGCTTCTAAGTATTGTCAGACATAGGATACTGGACAGGATGGAAACCAAGGCTGTTGTGTTTGCTGCATTTCCTGGATCATTTCAGAGTGCCTGGGAATAGCAAACAAACAATCAATATGGGGCCACTGCAGAAAATGAGACAGTTTTAGGAAGTTCACCCATAACCCACAAAGAGATAAAGGCTGTTGCATGCACACATATAACATGGTCTGTCTGATTCTGTGTTTGGGTTCTGCAACGGTACAGACAAGTGCTTTAAGTCACCTCTAACAGCCAAACCTTAAGAAGCTAGTATCTCAACCCGTGATGCAAAAGAAAGTAGCCATGAAGCTAGGAACAAACTCAGGTGTATGCAGTAACACGCAGAAGCCACTTCTAATGCATGTAATCATCCTGTATGTCCTATGCCAGAGGCAGAGGGAGCTACAGTAAGCGACAGAAGATGTAATCGCAGGATTAGTTACAGATCAGAAAACATGTCCGGAGAGTCCGGGCTGCTTACACAGACCACACTGAGAAGTATCAAACAAGAATTTGAGTCTGAACCTTCTTTCTCAGTTGTCTTTCCAGTAATCCATCTGCATAAAAGGTTGCTGAAACAGACCTCCTCAGGAACAGTTGTGGAGGTACTGAGGTTTGTTCAGGTTCGGGGTGGTGGGGCACCCCCAACTGCCACTCATAACATTGCAAAGAACAATCATACAGGCCAGAGAAGGGAGGGATAAGGAACGAAAAGGTGATGCACAGCATAACCGTGAAAAGATACGCAGACCATAGAGCGCTGCTCTTCCCACCAGAAGGGATGATGACGTGGTCTAATGGTGTGACTGGAGAAGGTTCTCTGCTGTAGACCAAAACCTCTGCAGCTTCCCACAGAGATGCCTCAGTCAGGAAGCGCTGCTGGGCACAAGGGCATGTTTGAGGGACTGCAAAACACGGCACGGCCTTTGCTACGCTGCTGTTGTCACACTTCCACATCACTGCCCATGCTGAAAGGGAGCAGTGCTCGGGGATGGACAGCAGTGATACGCAAGTCATGCTCCTGATGTCCTGAAGTAGCACGGAGGACTATAACAAGTGAAAAAAGAAGGGGGGTGGGGGGGGGAAAGTCCTCTTGACGCTGAACAGCATAGGTTCTTTTTAATTCAGTTTATCTAATGCAAATCAGTTTAATAAGAAAGGAAGTAGGTGAAAGTCTAAATGACAACAAAGGTTCAAGCCAGAGCAGGAGGTTTAGAGACTTGATTTGCTATTGTTTCCTAGATCCTTCTCCTAATTTTAGAATGCAAGGAAATTCCAGGCAAGACATTGTGTTGACCTGCTAGTCTACAAGCTGAAAAATAACAAAGGGAACAGAACATCTAGAGTCCAAACCTCTAGTGCTTCTGCCTACAGGTTTTAGGCAGTCTCAAAATAGATGTGCACACTTTAAAAAAAAAAAAAATCAGAATAAACTAGAATAAAATCACACGATATGTTGCACTGCAATATATATGGGAAGTGGTTATTGACACAATAGAGATTTAAAAGCTAACTATCTGTGGGGCAAACTGGTAGCTGTGAACATTTACTGCAGTTTTGCCTACAGTTTTACCTTCTTAGCTAGCCCACCAAAATCAAAACAACGTAGCACTCCTTTGGCACAGCATTCGTATCCACGCAGTTTATTGCGATGTAACAGAACAAACTGCATTAACAGCCCTTTTACTAGCACAACTACCTTACTGAAATAATCAGAACCTACACGCACACAGACACGCCTGTGAAGCCAAGTACAGACCAAGCCTCAGAAGTAGTCTGTCATGACAATCTCACAATTCTTCCCATCCAATTAACTTTGCTTCAGGGACACATCTACTAAATATAATGTTCCAAAGCACCTTACTTTGTATGCTACTTTTTTTATATCAGTTAAACACATTTTTTTCTCCCCCAGCTTTTTTTTTTTTTTAAATTATTATACTATTATCAGATCTGTGCGCTAATTTCCATTCAGCAAACAGCAAGACAACAAGAGTAGCACATCCCACTTCCTAAGATTCAGTTAAGCTGGACCTGAATAAAATATTTTGATGTGACAAAAGTTCAAACTAGTCAAAAGTCATCAGTGGAGGTCACAAAAAACCAAATGCAGAATTACAGTGTTCCCATGCAAGAATTAAGATTTTATATTTGCAAATAAGCAGAATCCAAGTAAGCCACCATGTCTTGCTCTGACTAACAAAACCTTCTTGTTAATGGTTAGGTACCAGCCACTTGCTCGTCATCGTTAACCCCTTACCAACAGGGCTGCGTCAATGAAATACTGCTAGCTGAAGCACAGGTACGCCAACAAGTCGGTATTTTCCCTTGACAGACTGCTTTGCTCATGAATGTCTTTACAAACTGCAGAGCACACCAACGTTCCCATAACCAGTCCAGTAGACCGAACTGCCATTGCATCGCGGAAATGCAAAGGTAGACCCGCACTGCTGGAGCAAATAACTAGATGCTGGTTGTTCAGCAGCTGTTCAGAGGTGGGACCATCTTCAGGAACACGCGCTTAAAAGCGCAGAACAGATGTTCTTCCCACGTATGCTAGCAAAGCTTTTAAAAAACTAGCAAGCAGTCAAAGTTTGCTCTTATCTCTACTAGGACTACAGTTAATATGATGTAAAATATGGCAACATGATGTAAGCAAGAACCGGTAAGACTGCAAACACTGTATCTAACATGATGCATAAAATTTTCAGTTCAGTATTTTGTGAACTGGCTACTTCAACTCCTAAGTCCAACAGCCAAATTTACAAAGCAAGGCTGCACAAGAGATTCATTTGTGACACTGGAAATGGAGAACAAAGGAATTTTAAAATTGTTACTGGAACTAAGAGTGAAAACTTAAGCAAATGCCTCTTTGGAGACTGGCAATTACCCCTTTTTCTAATCAATGTTAACCCTGTTTCATACAGCTGACAAAAGAAGTCATGAATTTAGCACTATACGGAATTTCTCTATTAAGACAAAGCATACACAGCTTCAAGATTTTCTGAATATTAAACAAAAAATTTAAAAAAAAAATCACCAAATCTGCATGACCTAGATCTTTCAGTGTCCAAACTAGACTGATATAAGATCAAAACCAGAAGTTTGAAGAAAAAAAAAATAAGCAGCAATCTTTCACTGTTTCCTGGCATACCAGAAGCCTAAAAACCACACAGAGCGAACACAGATTAGTACGAAAGGACTCCAGCGCACAGGAATTCAGCCAGCTCAGCATATGATGAAAGTCATCACAAGTGAAGAAAAAAAAAAAAAGGCTCACGACTAAGATCGGCAGTGTACAAATATATTAACAGCACAGTTGGGTAATTAGGGGGGAAAAAGCCTTTGTAAATTAGAATATATTATGAAGATACTCTACTGCTGAAGTGTATGAGCAGGTACAGGATGGCTAAGATAGAAAACAACTACAAAATTGTCTTGCAGATAAGATTCAGGGGGCATAAATTCTTACAACATCCAGAGCAAAGCAACTGCAATATAGCAGATTGGAAATACATAGGCCATTGCTCTCATTCATGTACTGACTGGCTGAAAATTAGCGAAAGGTATAAAGAGCCTGTAAAGCACTATAAGCCAAAAGATAAGAAATACTCCACAAAATCATAACATTGCAAAAAAGACAGAAAAATGTGAAATACAGGCTCTGCAGCATGTTTTCAGCTGCAACATCCTCATTCAGCAGCCCTCTAAAGACAAAAGCAGGCAAACATATGAGAAGTCATTCAAGAGTTTACCTATAATTTCTGAAACAAAACTCAATTACTTCAATCTCTTTTTCACAAAAAAAAAAAAAAAAAAAAAAAAAGGCAACCTAGATCCATGGATTTTTCAGTCCAAAGGGACAATGAAGTAATATCCTTCTCATCCTTTGTATATCACGGACCTTTATCACAGAATCATGAAATAATTCAGGTTGGAAAGAACCTCAGGAGATCTCTAGTCCAACCCCTTGCTCAAAGCACGGTGAGCTACGAAGTCAGACCAGGTTGCTCAGGCCTTCGTCTAGTCAGGTCTTTAAAACTTCCAAAGACAGAGGATCCAAAAATCCTCTGGGCCCCTGGGTCCACCAGTTAATCATCCTCCCAGTGAAAAAAGCTTCCTTGTGCCCAGCTAGAGCCACCTAGTTCCATGACACCCTGTGCCTCTCATCCTCGCCCTACGCACCGCCGGGCTCCGTCTCCTTGATGACCCTAACCCTAACCCCGTAACACACTGGCAGGCTGCTATGAAGTCCCTCCCAAGCAGCGCCTTCTCCAGGCGGAAGAAGTCCCGCTCCTGCGGCCTGTCCTGTCAGGACAAGCGCTTCAGCCCCTGCGCACCCCGCGCACCCTCTCCTGAGCTCGGGCCAGCGCGGCAACGCCGCTCGTGCATTGCGGGCCCCACAACAGATGCAGCATCGAGGTGTGGTCTACGGAGCGTGGAGCAGAGGGGAATACCACCCCCCAGTCTCCGGGCGTGCTCCCATCGGTACGTCCAGGATGCTGTTGGCCCTCCGTGATGCCAGGGCACCCCGCTAGACCCTACAAGGAGCTGAACTCTGAATACACGGACCAAGGACAAAAACCGAGCACCTTCAGCACAATGGCCAACGCACAAGGGCCAACAGTAAGAGCGGAGAGGAGGTGGCCATGTATGATACACAAAGAGCATTGCCAACAATAGTACACGCAACATGAAGTCAAACTCACAGGCCCGTGTGCATAACCAAATAAAAAGCCTCAAATGTCCCTTTTTGCTGTTGCCAGGCAAAAATTGAAGTATGCAACCAATATAAACAATGGAAGAGAACCATCAAAATTTTAGGAGACCCTTGACTGTGACAAACCTTTCACAATTAAACCACACCAGTCACTTGGAAGCTATGCTTATACGAGTTACACAGCTCCCCACTATAAATGGGTTGGATTCCCAAGAAACGCCACGCAAGCTAATGTACCACCCTGACCTATTCATTCTACTCCTGTTACAGTACATGACACTCGCTTGTCAGCTAGTTCCAGCTAACGACAATTAAACTGGAAAGACTTTACTTCTGTCTTAACAACATCTGATGCCTCAGCAACTATGGAAGACCCACTTCAATACTGAAATATGATGATATATGCAGAAGTGAGAAAGGATGAAACCCCAGCGCAATTATTAATGAACCTCTTGATTCAGACCACTGCCTTTGGAGTAATTTTATAAAAGAAAAATATCAGGCTAATAGAGTAGAATCACTGCTATGATGGTCAAAACTATCGTCATTGCAAAGGGAAAGAAACGTCAGCTTCAAATTGAAATACTACAGCCAGCCAAGGAGAGAGACATCCTAACCATAGAGCACTCATCTTCAATGGTTAGGTCAGTCCTCCTCGGGGAACATTTCCAAACAGCACACTGTGGTTTCATTTGAGGTTATCCAGAGAAACACTAACAGGCTCAGCCAGTTTATGAAAACAAGAAACACTGGTAGCAGCAAATACGAGCTCCATTTGGCAGATGCACCTTTGGCTTCTGCTGAGGAACTGAAATACCTGTGTATTGAGAAAGTCCTGAGCTTCACGTACTGATGTCGAGGCCCACTGGTCTACGACACATTTCTTACTGGTATCACAAGGATGCCTGACACCCCACTTTGCAGAGCTTCTCACCCTGTGAGATGCAAAAGCACAGAACTCCCCGATCCCATGGAGTTCAGTATACATGAGGTGTTTTGCCTGCACTTAGTTTATAAACCAGGTTAGCCCAGGGCTTCAGCTTTGGCCAATAGTGAACTCTTACATGGGAAAGCAGAGTGAACCCAGGAAGGAGGAAATATCCACCTGATTTAGAAACGAGCTTCCAGCCTCATATCCTCAACATGACATGACTGCTCCCCAGCAATGCAGATGGGTGGCACTAGAGGTGGTGCTGGCCAAAACTGAGAGGGAGATGCCTATCTCCTGAGTAGAGACAGAAGTCTGACAGTCCCCTGTATCCCTTCCTCATTCATTAGACGAGGAACTGTGACTGTCCAACTCCAAAACTGGCTGCATCAGCTGCCTCCTGTTCTGCAAGAGAGGGAGCCAGCACCACTGCCTTCACACACAGCCTCAATCAGCATGAGGCAGGCATCGCACCGCCTGTGGACACTAGTGCAGAGCTTCCAGCTAAATTAAGTAAGCAGGGTAAGTTTCGAGAAAGCCAATGTCTGCAAAACTGCAAAGCAGTATGTAGCAGGGCAGTGAGTGAGGGATGCAGATTTCCAAATACAGCAGTTCACGTAAAAAGGCAATTTGCATCAGGGAGGCAGGTCCAGCAGAACCACAGAATGGTTGAGGTTGGAAGGGATCTCTCAAGATCAGATAGTCCAGCCTCTGCTCAAAGCAGGATCAGCTATAGCAGGTTACCCAGGGCTGTGTCCACTTGGGTTTTGAATATCTCCAAGGATGGGCATTCTGCAACCTCACTGGGCAACACGTTCCAGCGTTCAACCACCCCTCCAATTAAGGAAAAAAGAAGTTTCCTTATGTTTAAACAGAATTTCCTCTATTTAACTGTGTGCCCATTACCTCTTGTCCTGCCATTGGACGCCACTGAGAAGACTCTGGCTCCACCTCCTTTATTCCCTGACATCATATACATGTTGTTAAAATCCCCCTAAGCCTTCTCTTCTCCAGGCTGAACGGTCCCAACTCTCTTGGCCTCTCCCCATATCATAGATGTCCCAGTCTTTTAATAATTTTTGTGGCACTTCACTGGACACACTCCTCTATGTCC